ACTCGTGCAGGTAGATAAACTCCCCCCTATGCTTTTCAACCCACAGTGCCTAATACAAATACTTTGAAGAGATGAAAGCCCATCTAGACTTGGAACCGACTCCAGACTATGACAATACTCTATAGACAAGCTCTCGAGACTCGTGCAGGTAGATAAACTCCCCCCTATGCTTTTTAATCCACACCAACTAATACAAATTCTTTGAAGAGATGAAAGCCCATCTAGACTTGGAATCGACTCTAGACTATTGCAAGAATTTATAAACAATCTCTTGAGACTCGTGCAGGTAGATAAACTCCCCCCTATGCTTTTCAACCCATGGCCAGCAATGCTAATACTTTGAAGAGATGAAAGCCCATCTAGACTTGGAACCGACTCCAGACTATCACAACGCCCTATAGACAAGCTCTTGAGACTCGTGCAGGTAGATAAACTCCCCCCTATGCTTTTCAACCCATGGCCAGCAATACTAATACTTTGAAGAGATGAAAGCCCATCTAGACTAGGCATGGACATCAGATTTCTACAACCACTAATGGTTAACGCTTCCAGATTAGGACACGTGGAGGCAAATAAACCATCAGCAATATCCCTCAATTTCTCACATTCCCGAAGCCAAAGTTTACGAAGGTATGGTAATTTTGTCAACACGGGAAGACTTTCTAACTTCGAACACCAGCTTATGCATATTTCTTTGAGAGACATTGTGGCAAGTGTTCCAAACCCCATACTAATCAGTTCATTACATTCATCAATAATGAGTTCCTGAAGACATGAATCTGCAATACTTTTCAGATTCTTGCATCGTTTGATTTGCACCTTTGCGCCACTGTTGAGTGAAAGTGGTGGCATGCTTTCCAATTCATCTAAGCCGAAAATGATCAGCTCCACCAAGTTGCTTAGTGAAAGTGATGGAATAATTTTCAATTGGGGAAAGAAACAAAGTCTCAATGACACCAGATTTCTGAGATGAGTTGATTCACCCAAATTACCAAGATCGTCCAACATCCATGAAGGACACTTTTCACCACAATAATTACTAATTCTTAGGCTTTTCAGGTTTGAGTGAGGTTGGAGGCCTTCCAAGACATCTTCATCATGTTTCCTTCTTTCTTCTGATCTGCATTCTTCTGAGTCTGAGTATGGGTTTGAGTCTGAGTCTTTCGGGGGTGACCATGCCCGTAGATAGAATTCATCTATTTTTCTGTCAAAATCCAATGCCAACTCCTGAATTGTAGTCTTTTCAGAAAGTTCTGCGATAATAGCTTCCTCTCTGTTTCTAACCATTTTCAATTTAGTTATTTCTAATTTTCCCTTGAGTTGACTTAAGCCTCTCAATTCTTCAATATGACGTCCCTTCTGCTGACCCACAATAAATAATTTTAATGTTTGTAAACAGGTTAGAGTACCAACCCCCGCTGGCATCAGCTTCTCAGAACTGAAATAAATATGCCTCAAATTGATTAAATTCCCTATTCTTTCCAGAGGTCTCTCTATGCGATCACAACCCATAAATATAAGAGTCTGCAATTGATATAGCTTGGTGATAAATACTGGAAGTTCTTTGATTTTGGTTTCAGAAACATCTAAGTATCTCAAATGCTTCAGCTTTCTCAATACAGCAGGCAACTTGTCAATATTGGCACCACAAAAGCTGAGGACCCGCATCCTTTTGAAGCTTGGAGGCATGTTGTGAAAGACACCAGTCATGGAAAACAATGTGTGCAGTTTTAGGATAGCATCCCCTATTTCTACTGCTGCCATACCTTCATCAAAAATAAGATTCAAATGACGAATGTCTGCAGTGATATTACTTCCACTACCGTTACCCAAAATCAATGTTTGAGGCTCTGAAATAGATTGTGCAAGATCATGTATTAAATCATGCATCTTACAGGTAATAACTCTCCCACAAGAATCTTTTTCTGCATCTTGAAAAAGGGAATAAGATAACAAGTCATTAAAATACTTGTCACCAGTAGCCTCCATCTCCTTGCCACCAGTCGGTTGAAGAAATCCATGAGCCATCCAGAGCTGAATTAACATCTCCTTTTCCATGACAAAATCTTTGGGGAAAATTGAACAGAAAGCAAAACATTGTTTCAAAGCTGGATTTGGCAGGCGACTGAAACTCAATTGCAGGATAGGCAAAACTCCATTAGCCTCTTCTATTGAACCCCATACTTCACACCAGACATCTTTGTTGCGATTATTGCACAGAATCCCCCCTATAACACTTGCAACTAAAGGTACACCTTTACATTTGTTAGCATTTTTCCTCCCAATACCCTCCAATTCCTCCAATTCTGAAGGAATAGGAGAGTTGCCAAATACTCTATGCCTGATTACAGACCAACAATCATCATCTTTTAGCTGCTTGAGGCGATGCACATGCTCAGGAAGTACTCCCATCACTGATGCTACATTTTGAATTCGGGTTGTGACAAGGACCCTACTCCCATTCTTTTTACTTATCCCTGACAAACATTGCCTTAAGTCTTCCCACTTCAGCCTCTCTTCACTCCACACATCATCTAGAATAAGGAGATAGTTTTTCTCCTCCAACTTTTCTTTTATTTTTTGAACTATAACATCCCGGCTTGTAATATTCTCACAATGACCTTTCCTAAGAGACTCTAGCATCTGTACTAAAATCCTCATCACATCAAAATGATCAGAAACACATATCCACATAATATTGGAAAAATGTCCCTGTATTTGGTCATTGTTGCGCACTAGTTTTGCCAAAGTAGTTTTCCCAAGGCCTGCAATACCCACTATAGAAACTACACAGAAAGGCTGCTGATTACTGGAGTCAATCAATAATTTAACTATTTTTTGAACATCACCATCTCTTCCTATAACTCCTGATGGTTCACCTAGTAAGGAGTCCGTCTGCTGGATTCCTCTAGGTTCAAGACTTGTTTCAAGTCTGTGTTGAACTTGAAGTCCTAACCCAGTGGCCCTGGTGTTAAGGACATCTAAGGCAGCATTCAAACTCTTAATCTTGTTAGCCATTTTGAGGCGAAATGCTAGAGGATTAGAGGCTGTAAAGAAATAGCTGACCTGTTTTAGCATCTGTTTCTTAGCTGCTACCTTGTGTCGCAGACTTTCATATGAAATTTCATCCATCACCTCGTCAGCCTCTTCAGCTATTCTTCGGAGTCCTTCAAGCCAAAACTTCACACCAGAGCTGCCCGCGACACACTTCTGCTCTGCGTCACGCAACACACCCCTGACCATCTCCAGCGTGCCATGAAAGCTCATCAGCTCCTGCTTGAATCCCACAGCTAAGTCGAGCTGTTCAATCACCTTTGATATTGTGAGATTCACAACAGGACCAAGCAGAAGGTCAGCTGCCTTCTCCGCTGCCATCTTTGTTTTGGTAGATCGGAAATGAGAAATGCTTGTAAATTGGAAATGCTATGGCACAAAACAAGATAGAATGATGTAGTGGGGATGAAGTTGGCTGAAGGCAATTATTATACGTGCAGTGAGTTGAATCTGAATACAACTTTTTTTTTTTTTCTTTTTCTTTTGTTAACTTTTTCCCACACCAATCGAAGGGCTGGAATATGGAAAATTCAGCTGGCATTCTATATAGAAATTGGATTCCTATATAGTTGGGTTCAAAAGATCTTTACACTTTAGCATTAGAGAAAAGGTTGTTCTGACTTTATTTATTACATTTTTTTATTAATTTGTATGAATAATTATAAAATTAAATTTTATTTTTAATATTAATATTATGTGAATAATTTTAATTAAATGATTGATAAAATTAAAATAAATATTTTTATTCAAATTAATAAAAAAATATAATAAATACAGTTTTATGACATATGGTAAAAAAAAATTTGGATAAAAATAAAAAATCAAAATGTTTTGAAATGTGAAAACTGCCTATAAAATTGTTTTAAAATATTATTAATGAATCTTTATTATATGTTGATTTAGTAAAGGTGTTTAAGTTTTTTATTATCATTTTTGATATTATAATTGTTAGAATATTCTAATTTTTTTATAATCTCATAAATGTGTATAACATACGTAAATTGATATTAATTTTAATATCATTGCTATCTAGATAAATTTAGTTATACGGTTAATAAGTTGGATGTCAACTTTTGTTTTTCTAATACAAAATTATAAAAAATATATATTTATTATACTTGTAATCAATATTTTAAGAGAATAGATTTAAAAAACCTATTATATAATATGAACAAAAAATTATTGTACAATCTTAACTGTACAATATAAATTGTTAAATGAGAGGCAAGCTCTCTAATGTTGGGACTCTCATTCAATTATCTTTATTTTGTAATGTGATATAATTCTAATAGTAAAACAGTAAACTCTCATAAAAAAATGGATTTACTTTATTTTCGATAATGTTATAATTACAATCTAACGTAACATTAAATGAAATATGATGCAATATTAATTGAATAAATGTATACAATATTACAAATAAATTTTTAAATAAAAAATTAATCATACGATAATATATTATATTATAAATTTATAATATTATATAATAATATAATTATAACATTTTAGATTTTCCTTTCACAAAATTAGTAGATAAATCACATTGGACTCCTTTTCTTTCTAACCAAAAACATAATGGGATCCAAACTTTAATAATTGAAGGCGAAGTGGATAGATCACATTGTATTCTTTTTCTTTCTGCCAAAAACATAATGTAATTCAAACTTTAATAATTAAAGGCAAAGTAGATAGATCACATTAGATTCTTTTTCTTTTCTGACTGAAAACATAATGGGATTCAAATTTTAATAATTGAAGGCAAAATGAAACACGTTAGGTTAATGTGAAAGGCCTAAAGTTCTACACCGAGAA